GGGAGCAGAAATGAGGCCGGCGCCTCAGCGAGAGCAGCATTTTGATGGAGAAAAAATTAAGAAAAAAGGAGAACACATATAACAAAAAGAAGTTGAACAAAAAAGACAAAGGAGAGGAGGAAAAAAAGGGAGGAACAACAAAAAAAAAAAAAACAAAAAAAAAAAAAAAAAAAAAAAAAAAAAAACGACGCGGGGGGGGGGGTCATCTTCGGGGCGCCATCAGGGGAAGTGGGAGAGTATTTTCATATTGTGTAATTGCGGATGGGGGGGGGGAGGGGGAAAAAACGGTGGGGGGGGGGAAGGGGGGGAAGAGGAGGAAGAGGAGGGGTGGAGGAGGGGGGGGGGGGGGAGGAGGAGGAAGGAGGAGGAGGAGAGGAGGAGGGGGGAGGAGGAGGAAGAGGAGGAGGAGGAGGGGGAGGAGAGGCTTTGGCCCCGGTGCTTTCCTGGAAGCCGCGCCCCAGCGATTTCGAGCGCCGCGCGAGGTCTAACCCCGCGCGCGCGCCGCCCTCACTGCACATTCCTTTGGCGCCGCGCTATCATCATTTTCAAGGAACCCAGCTGGCGCCGCCGTGCCAGAGCCCGGTGGGCGCGGGCGCGGGCGATCTTGAGGTCGCACGCTGCAGCGCAGCCTTCGTTGCCATCGCTCCGCAGGAATGGCGCGCCGATATCGTGGCGCGCGCGATGCAGTCCCAGGCGCGGCATGGGAATGCATCCCCTGCCGAGGGCATCTCATGGCGCATCATTTGCGCTGCCTCTGCGGGACATCCTGTGGGCGCTATCAGAATCTAGCCAACCCGCAGCCAGGTGGGGCCCATTATGGGAAGATAGGCAATAGGGTTCAAATGCGGAGATGACAGCCCAGAGCCAGATCGAAGCCCAGGCCCAAGGATCATGCCAAACCTGCCCAGGATTTCATCCAGCAAGTTGGGCCCATCACCAGGCTGGCCCTCCAGTCCTCGCATCGGGCGTCGCAGCTATATCAGGGGCGCCCGCCGACAGCCGAGCTCCGCGAGTTCAAGCGTCAGAACTGCGGCCGCATGCTCAAGCTGGCGCGCCTCATCTTAGCTACCAGGTCAGGAGGCCGCTGCACAGATGATGCAATGCTGGAGCTGTCGGCATGCAAGCTCACGCAGCCGAGTACGGAGACCATCGGCAAGCAGGCCCACGACCTGAACGCAAGTAAGGATGCCACGGTCGAGAAGCTCGAGGCCGCGAGGGAGAAGCAGCAGCAGCCCCACCTCGAGGAGCGCATCATCGAACAAGACCGGGATCGCGTCAAGGCCAGCGTCGCCGAGCTGGAGGAGCTCGCCCTGGACCAGGACTACGACGACGAGGACGACGACACGGCCGCAGATCCGCCGCGCGTCGCCATCCACTCGCCCAGAGCCAAAGCGCACCCAGCTAGCGCATCCCCCCCTGGCTCGGCAGCTGCTAACGCGCCAGCCCCGCGCGCGTCGCCAGCTCCTGCCTGGGGGCAGCCGCCTCCGCCGCCACCAGGCGCGCCGCCGGCGGCCAGCCGCCGGAACAACGTCGACTCTCACTGCGCGGCCATGACATGATGGAGCAGATCGTCATCCGGCAGCGGAACCAGCATGCACAAGATGCCAGGATCACGAAGCTCACCAACGTGGCGGGCTCACTGCGGGGGCCCACCGCGCAGCTGGGCCCCAAGATACGATGGCAGCGCCACCCCCTGCGCCACCCCCTGCAGATGACGAGGGTGGATGACAAGAGCCCCCGCAGTCCGCCGAGGAAGGGGGCGCGCGTCGTCTAGTGAGTGGACGAAAGTCTGAACGCGCGTGGTGGGCACCATCGCAGATTGCCTTGTCTCGCACCGACAGCCCCCCACCCATCCACCCGCCCTCCCCTCATTCGAGACCTTCTCGCTCCATCCTCTCCTCCCCACAGGCTAGGGTTGGACTTGATACTCTCAGCAACTCGCGTGCATGCTTTCGTCATGATGTCCAGGTCGACATCGTTTTCCCTTGGCCAGTGCACGCTGCCGAAACAGCGCTAGCAACCAGATGCGAACCAGCGGCATGGTCCCATCTAACGGAAGCCACGACCTGTAACGCCGCGTCAATTGAAAGCGGTCCGTGGGTTTTCAAGCAGCGCAGGAATCTCCTGGGCCGGGTCCTCCAGGGGACTGAGCTTTCGTTTATAGATGCAGTTTCTTGCCACGACACTCGGTGGCTTTTAGATTTGCGCCCGGGGGCCTGGGCTTTGGTTTGCGCGACGCCATCGCAATTGAGAGCCACGTCAATATACGGCGTCGGTGCCAACAGTGACACCGATGCTGCCCCGGGCATGGCCGAGGCTCATTGCGCGGGCAACGGGCGGAAGGGGGCCAGGAAGAGGAGCGATCGACAGGTTTTTTTGTTACTCGTGCACGCGCCAGTCGATTTAGGCCTCCGTCCGCGCACCTAGCAGCGAGCCTCGTGCTCTGTCTTGCATCAGTTCAAGTATCGGGCGGTGGGCATGACGACCCGAGGGATGGCATGCAGGGGGATGCGCGTCCCACTACCTCAGTCAGTCTGCGGGGGCGGCAGCATGAAGTGGGGAACCGCGCTGCCTGCGCCCAGGCTGCCAGGGAGTCAACCAGCCCTGTCAGCACACGGGTGAACGGACGCCAACCGAAGACGCCCCCCATCTCCCGGCAGCTTGGGAAGTGCTGTGTTTGCGCCCAAGCATCCCGCGCAGCAGTGCACGCATGATGGGCCAGCTTTCGGACGCCGCCGTCATCGGCAAACCATGTGCACATGCTTCTCGGCAGATTCATGCATGCGTCCTGCGCAGGAGCCGTTCTAGCCACGTGCTTCTCCCGCCGCGGTTTTGCAGCAAGCTCGGGCAGCAGTCATCTCACTCTCTCCCCGGGGCATCTTCCTGTCGTCCCCTCTCCTCTTTCAGTTGGACACGGTGATGACTCACTCGGCAATCGGGGGAACACCGCCGAAGGTGCGGCTGTCCTTATTCATTTGGAGCCGAGGCCCTAGGAGGCCGCAGATCCCCGCGCCCCCCTGCCTATCCTGGGTCTGTCCTATGCCCGAGGCAGATCCTTGTCATGGGTCCCTGAGGGACCTGGCTATGCGCTGCAGCGTTCCCATCTGCATTTGTATTCCCGCAGTAGATATCCCAGAGGTTGTCAACCTAGCTGTAGAGCTAGCTCCCCTGGACCCCAGCGTTCCCAGCATCTGCACATCTACGCTGATCGTTCCGTGGGAGCGGGGGGGGGGGGGCCCGGCAACCCGGGCTCTAGTGGCCGTTGGCCAACACGAGAGAGGATTCGCACTAAGGGGTGGCGGGCGCACTCCCTTGAACTTTCCTGCATGACTCCGACGCTACACAACGATCCCACCAGTACAGAGAGCGAGTTCGGAGGAGCGCTCTACGCAGCCATTTATTTGCTGAGCTCATTTAACATCGCGCCCGCCACTCTGAACTCATATTCTCTCAACGTTGTAAATGCTGTAAACGGCTGCGCCCCCCCCGCAACCACCCCGTGGCCACATCGGTCGTCTGGCCTGTTTGGCGTGGGAACAGCTGATGCAAGTGCGCAGCGTTGCAGTGCAGCACAGCTTGTCGAGGGGCATGTGGGCCATCCATGGGGCGCTATGGCGGATTGGCTAGCTGGTGGGGTGTCCAAGGGCTTTGTGGCTCTCGCTGAGGGTCTCCTCCGTTTCGCCGCATGCGAGAAACCCATGGAATGGGGCTGGCTATATGCGGCGTCGCAACAAGACCGCCGTGCCTACCCCTCGGCCCTCGGAGGACTTGCAGAGAACAATGCTACCTGTCTGGCCGAGCCCGAAGCGCTCAGCGGAATGCTCCACGACAGCGCGCCGTCGCACCAGAAGCCAATGGAAGTAAACACCAGCGCGGCACAGTGCAATGCTCGGTCTCTCACCAACCGCGAGGCGCATGGCATGGCTGGCAGAGCCCGTGGGGCTCGCAACAAGGCCCTGAGAGTCCAAATGGGGGCCCTACGCACCCACTCTGTGGGAGTGCAAGAAGCTAGGGCGCCTGCGGGTTCGAGAGTTGCCGATGACTTCCCCATTTTTTCACCCGGTAGCAACCAACAGGGCCTGGGAGCGAAACTGTGGATCAAACTTAACATTCCCTGCGCCACGCGAGGTGGGAAATAATATTGCTTCGCCGCCAGACATGCTCGCGTGCTCCGCTCCTCGCCGCGCATCCTTTGCGCGAGAATAGAGGCACCTGCCGTTTCTCTCGCGATCGCAGTTGCTCACAGCCCTCATTGCAAAAGCTCACTGTCCAGCGTTGATGAATTCTGGAGCGAACTCGCAGCTGCCCATGATCATCGGCAACCCAGCCTAGTATTTATATATGCGAACGCGCGTGTGGGTTCATCTCTCTCCAAGGCAGTGGGAGATCAGGAACCAAGGCATCAGCAGTGCAGCATGGGCAGCAGGCTACATAGCTTCCTGGAAAAATCCGACCTTCGCGCTTTGAACACTTAATTGGATCCGCGGGTCGAGAGCGCACCTCTTCCGGTCGAAGCTAAGCGGGCCGCGCGAAGCTTGAATGAATCAGAGGCGGGGGAGGAACAGGGGAGCGCAGCCGCAGAACGAGGCCGGGAGGAGGCAAAGGCTCGGAATCAGGCGGCGCCGAAGCCGGCGCACTTGCAAAGGAGCGCCTTCTCCATAAACCCGGTGGCGAAGCACCGGTCGAAGTAAGATGTTGTGGTTGGTTCTGCCGTCTACGGCTCCTCATTTTACGCCAGACTCGAGTTGGCGGCGAGAGGTGGCGCGCCTTGCCTTCGCGCTTTGAACGCCCGCGTGCTCAACTCAGACAGTGGATGCGCATCCGCTAGCAATTCAGGTGCCACGCACAGGATTGATCACATCCTTGTAGACCCGTGCTTGCATATGTGCGCGCAGACTTGTCGCGTTTCAGACTCATTTGACAATGAACTACAGCTGAATGATCACTACCCAGCTTTTGCCGCCTGCCAGTGGGATCGCGCCGTTGCCCGCAACCCCGAGGCTGGCAAGCTCAAGATCGACCAACGTCTCATCCAAGACCCCGGGGCCATGAAGAGGTTCCAAGATGCTCTTCTAGAGATGCCCCTCGAGCCCTGGTGCAGTGAGGTCAACGCTCACTGCTGCATGCTCACTAGTGGGGTCCTACAGGCTGCGTCAGAGGTATTCAGGCCCACTATCAGGCTGGCTAAGGATCCCTACGTCAGTCAGGCCTTTCTGGGGTTCCTCTCTTGGCGTCGTGGAGCCCAAGGAGCCTTCAGAAAGCATTCCACTTCCGAGCATCTAGCAGGCGATGCCTTCGACGAGTGCCCCGTGGCGGCTCGCCGCCAGGATAGCACGTGGAGATCTCAGCCGAATGCGTTCCACACGGGAAGCCCCCGCTCTCCTGACCCTCCTCGATCATGCCGCGCGCGCAGTAGAGCTTTACGTGCAGGGCCGCATTTCATCAAGTCTATTCTCCATCCGACACCCATTTTCTGATTCAAGGAAGGAGTCATTTGGCCTTTCAGCTTGAGACGGAGCAGGTTTCCTTGCTAGAAGGACTAGCAGAGCAGGTTCACATATCGGCCGACGCTAACCTGCAGAGAAACATGTGGCGACATCTCAAGTTGATGCTGGTCCACGGAGGTAGGAGGGGAGGACCGTTCAAATCGTCGGATGTACTTCCCTACATGACCACAGCCACGGGAGACCAAGAGGCTGAGGCATCCCCCCTAGTGTATTAGATACCCAGGATCAGGCCATTAGCCACATGCAGCGGCACTTCTGCTCGGTCGAGCTTGGAGTTTGCAAGGTCCCCTGTCAGAAAATGCGTGAATATAGTGACCTGCCTGACCTCTTTGCAAGTCTCACGAGCCAGGAGGGCTCAAAAGGGGCAGGGCCCCAGGGATTGACTCCTCCCCCCCGACCTATTCAAAGTGGCACCCCAACAACTGGCCAGATTGCTTTGCCCCCTGCTCGCCAAAATTACCCGGGGCGGACGTGAACCCTTTGCGTTCAAAATTGATGGGGTCATTTATTTCTTCAAGGGCTCGGGGGGGCCCTCCATCGCCGAAAACCAACGCAATATTTTCCTAGCCGGCACCACTTGCAAAGTTCACCGCAAGTTTGTGAGGAATCCGTGTCTGATTTTTTTTCGAAGGCACTCCTGGGCGCCCAGCGTGGGGGAGTCGGTGGGCGCGGCGCCGAAGTGATCGCCCTCGCGGCCCGCAGGTCTGTTAGGCAGGCGATTTCTACCAAGAAGTCTTGCGCGATCCTCTGCTTAGATCTGGTATCTAGTCCAAGCCTTTGATAGCACCGCCGCGCAGCTTGCGACCGACCTTCCAGGAAAGACCGAGCGTCTACAGCACGCCCTCGAGACCATGCCCCCCCCCCCCCCCCCCCCCCTCTTGCTTGAAGGTGTCAAGGCGCAATTGGCCCAGGGCCCCTTGCTAGATTGTTCTGGGAACGATATTCGTCAACATCTACATGAGTTGATCCAGGAGGCCGGGAGGGGATCCTTCTGGCAGGTCCGTGGAGCTCGGGACTTTGTTGGATCCTCCGTGGGGCCCAGGCCAGGCGCGCCCTTTGCCGCCGACACCTTCAGCGCAACCTTTCGCAAAGTTCATCTAGAGGTGCTGAAAGAAGCTCGAGACAATGAGCTCACGCTACAGAGCGCGCTCACAGCACCCCCTGTGCTAGTGGCCAGAGAAGATGACTGGCAGAATGCCAGCAGTGATTTCTCCTTTGTCGACGACTGAACCACCCTGCCCCCCCATGGACAGGGCCGGCCGTGTACCAGCCAAGGTTCTTTCCTTATTGGAGATAGTATAGTGTGCCTCGTGCCGCGCGGGATCTACCCTTCACAATTAAAAAAACCAGAGTTTTGGCGGCCTTCAGAGGACCTGGTCCCCGCAAAGTTCCAGGGTTGCTGCTGGGTGGGAGTTGCCGTTCTGTTCGCTCAGCTACGCGGGGGTTTACCTTCCCAGTTGTCCGCGTGCGCAAGATCCGAGGCACACTCGTCAATTTTAAAGGTGTCCCTGGGCCTGAGCTGTCTGCCAGATGTGACAAAGCACGCGCCCTCGAGCCTATCAAGGCTACCGTTTCCCCAAGGACCGCCCTTTCTGTCAAAACTAAAACCACCCTCTCGGAAGCGCCCAGCTCCTCGGTTTTGATGTTCGGTTCAGCTACCCGGACCACACTCACATATGCCCAGGGGCGAATGCTTCGGAAAGCACATGCGGAAGTTTATGGGACAGCGCTAGAATTATCCATCAGCAAGAATAGGAGCGCCCACGCGTCGCACGCCCAGGTTTTTTTACGCAGTGAATCGCTTACCTCATCAAGTGATCACGACAGTTGCCAGGCTCCGCTTCTTTGTCATAATTTTGTTGCGCCGTCCTCCGAGCTTGCGCGTGCTCATCGATGCGACGCAGGAGGGCCCTCTCGGCTGGTTTGTCCTCCTCAGGTCAGATTTTTCGCGGCTATATTCTCATTCAGGCGACCCAGCTCTACCAGAGACAGATGGCGAGAAGGAATGGGTTGAGCTCGCGAGGAATCGCCCCGAGTTCTTTCTTGCCGAAGTACAGACTGCCGTAATGCATGCCAGACTGCATTATCATGATGCGGACCATTTGGACATTCGGAGACACGGCCTTGCTAGTTATGCGAAGGGACCCCGCCAGACAACAACGACCCCCAACAAACACAGCACTATTAATTTACCCTGTTTGTTAGCCACGAGCGGTTGCTGCCAGATTTGCCCGCTGAACTTTCGCCACTTAGGAAGGCTCGTTAAGCATCTAGCCAGCGCCCCAAGTTGCTGGGCCTCCTGGGCCGCCGCGGCATTTCGACCCACCCAGGAGGAGCTGGGCGCAGCTTGAAAGGAAGACAGGTAGGAGGCCACCCGCAACAAAACACAAGGGCGGGGACCCATCTTTGCAGGTCAGGCTTGGGTTCGGTGTTATGCCCCCCCTATTGGCCCCAGGGCCCGACTCACCAGAAAAGAAGCTAAGCCCCAACGCACCGTCCCATTGCATCGCCCCCCCCCCTCCGGCCTGCCGAGGCTTCTCGCCCCCCCCCCCCCCCGGGGCAACTTTGCGAGGGGGGCGCGCAGGGCTGCGTGGGGTACCATTCGGGAACACCCCGCCAACTTGTCCCCAGCGTGGGCGTAGTTCATGGCCCCACATTGGGGGATTCTGCAGCACCGCAGGGGATTGAGTTGTGGTTAAGCATGTTGCGCCCAGGCAGAGTCGCGGGGCTAACCGCGAATCCTCCGGGCGGGAGTTGGTCGGCAGCAAGGTTCAGACCAGCGCCGAACGCACGGCGTCCGTTAAGGCCGCTTTGCTCTGAGTTGCACCCTTGGGGGTTAGGACATATCAGCAAGAAGGAGAGAGAGCAGGTAGCGACAGCCGCACGGCCATTACCTTTCAACATGAAGCCTGGCTACAGCAGACTCCCGCCATAATGGGGCATCCAGACCAGTGCAGTTGGATCCTAGGTGCTCCCAGCATCTGGAAACTAAGAGAAGTAAGAGAGCTGGTTGCCCGCCCCCACGTCGTCTCCCATGCGGTCCACCAATGCAGGTTTGGAGCCCGCGTAAGAAGACCGAGAGTTCGTCTAGCAGCCCATCTCCCAGCACTTTCAAGGTGGCGAAGGGGCATGCCTGAAGGGGCCCATTGTAACCGCGCGCACGGGCATGGGGCCCTCGGGGGCCGCTCCGCCGCGGGCACTGAGGGCCCTGCTAGCACCGGGAGCTACCCCATGGGGGCTTTGTCGCACGTTGTCCGCCGCCCTTCTGCAGACGGCCAGGCATCGCTGGCCACCGCTGTCTCAAGAGGTGGTCAGACCGCAGGCCCCGAAACCCCAATCTGTGGACTGATGCGGCGGGATCTCCACCTCCAGCGCAGGCTGAGAGACCTCGTAGATTTGGGTTTCTCAGGCGACGACTGGCTTCTACCAATGGGCTTGCGCAGATGTCACGCCCCACGGGGTCCCTACGCACAGGCTATTGCCGGGTCGGATTGTGCCGTGCACCAGAGGAGGCAAGTACCCTGTGCCGACCAGAGGACGCGCCTCCCTCTCCCTCACTCCGACTGCTGCCCAAGCTTTGGGGAAGGGCCTGGGTGGGAAGGTGCTGCCGAGCATAAGTGCTCCGCCAGAGCTTGTTCTCAAGGTGTAGCTGTCGAAGGCAGCAACTCGTCTCTGACAGCGCCCTGCTGCATGGATGGATGGTTATCTTCACCGACCCGCCCCATCATTTCCTGGCCTGAAATCCCATCTCTCGCGTCGTAGGCAGTAATCCGTGCCGCCTATGCAGCCGCCCGCCGCCGCTGCTCCACTCTGCTCTCTATCCGGTTGTTTAGGCATCGAACGTTTCTGCCCGAGTATGAATGAATGAATGAATGAATGAATGAATACATAAATGAATGAAAGAACGAATGATGAGGAGGACACGGGCGAGGCGGATGAGGAGGAGGAGGGAGGGGAGGATGCGGAGGAGGGGGGCGAGGGGAGGAATAGGATGAGGAGGAGGACGAGGGGACCAGGGAGGAGGTGGAGGAGGAGGAGGAAGGCCGGGATGCGAGAGGGACGCTGGATGGTCACAGGCAGGCGCGGAGGCTGGTTGCAAGGAGTGCGGTGCTGCGGGGTGGAGGGCCGGCGCGTGGAACGCGGGGGGAGGGATGGGGGCGGCGGTGGTGAGTGGGGATGGTGTGGGGGGGTGTGGGTGTGGTGCGGCGGGTGTTGCGGGCGGGGGGGGGGGGGGGGTGTGGGGGGGGGGTATAAAGCGGGGAGGAGGACAAGCTAGGTGCTCTCGCGTCATATCTTACGTCCTACCCCTCCCTCCCATCCCTTACCATGGCGCTGATTTTCTCTATCCGCGGACGCGTGTCGTAGCGGACCTGTGGCTCCGCGCGCGCGTGCGGTATTAGTGGGTGGTGGTGCGCGTGCGTG